TCATTAAAATCTCTCAAGCCACACTCCATTTTGAGTTTATAAAAACAGTAGGCTCTACGCAAGGTGTGATTTGTGGAGCTTTGGTTTTCAAAGCATATTTTAAAGCAGCGGTTGAATAAGCATTTACCATTCTTGTGCTATTTATTTTTGGTGTACAGAAGAAATAGTTATCCATGAGTTTGCCAGTCTTTGTCTCGCAAACATGTCCGTAGAGTACACGGGTAAAGTGCAAATATTTGAACACGGTGGATTAGAACCTCTCGTCAGACTTCTGAGCAGCCCAGACCCAGACGTAAAGAAGAATTCTATTGAATGCATTTACAACTTGGTGCAGGTAAGGTTAATTTCTAAAAAGTGTTTTGACAAAAGCTGATTACAGAATTTATTTTCCCATTAAAAAAAGGAAAAAAAAGCTTTTAATAACTCACCTATTTTACATCATCAATTCTTCTTAGTACTATTAATATGTAGGTAGTATTTATCACTCAGAGAAAACATAATGGAAGTTTTGTCCAAATATCTTTCATTTTTCGTGCTTTATAAAGTAATTGTTTCCCATGAAAAAGTATTTTAGAAATGTATTTCTATTTTTAAAGAATAGAATGGCAAGCAAATGAAGGTGGGATTAGACTAGACAAAATGTACTTCTTCTGACACAGGAAATCTAATATTCATGGTGAACCTGGGCAGTTCCTATCATTGATCTACCTGGTGATCTGAGCACATTGGATGTAATGTATGCCCTAGTCAGGGTGCCAAGATTTTGGATTAGACTTATTTATTGGTAAAAACCTAGTGATTTGAGTATACTGAACAGAATTCATTGTTCTCAACAGCAAGAGGCTGCCTCCCTGTGCCGTTTTCCTTTGTAATAGAAAGAAACTGCCCACCTTCCCTCCTCCATCATCCTGTCCTCCCCCCACAACCCCTCCAGCTCACACCCCCTCACACCGCATCAGGGCAGCTTCCCCCACAGTCTCTGGGCAGCCCTCTCTGCTGCTTTTCCTGCTCAGCTTCCTTAGCAATGACCACATGCATTTGATAAGCTTTAGAGCAGCTGAAAATACAAAAACACCAGTTTAAATAGCCCTATATTTCTCTTCAATGCAAAGAATCGCCTCCACAATTCTAAATAACAGAAGCTCTAGCTAATTACAGCGTGTTAGTTTTCCTAGGGCTGCTGTCACAAAGTACTACAAACTGGGTGGCTTAAAACTACAGTCATAGTTTCGGAGGCTGGAAGTCCAAAATCAAGGTGTCAGTAGGGCCATGCCCCCTCTGAGACTGAGTAGAATCCTTCCTCACTCCCTCCCAGATTCTGGTGGTGGCCGTCAGTCCTTGGCCTTCCTTGGCTGCATCCTGGTAGTCTCTCCCTCTGTTGTCTCTCTTCTTACGAGGACACTCGTCTTATGAGGCTGTTATTGGGGGCCCCTCCTCTTGTGTGATCTGGTCTTCTTTACTTATTCCTCCTACGACGTCGTTTTTTCTAGTGTGGTCTTCTTCTGTGGTGGTGTTGTTAGTTCTTCATCTTTTTTTTTGGGGGGACATTCTTCCCCTTATAACAAGCAGTCTTCTATTATTATATCTAAAGGAAGCTGGATATTAGAGATCAGGTGTAGGACGGGCAGGGTAAAGCTAACCTGTAAGTGTGGCCTTTTCCACCTTTAATGCTATTTTATGTTTAACGCGTTTTGGTTAAAGATGTCACAACTTCATAGTCAAAGTTGGGAGTTTTTCCCATTGCTCATCCCAACCGCCCTCTCCCTCACTGTCACACGCATAGACACGTGTGCAGAACAACTTATCTAAGGCATAATGACGCTTTGATATTGTAAATGTCTTAAATCAAGGTCAGAATTTGAACTAAACCTGCTGTCAATTTGCATGTCCAGGGCCTGTGAACAGCACCGCATGCAAATAGGTACTTCATGAACAATCCATTTGAATGGAGATAATAAGGAATCGATGCCCTCATTTTATTTTATCAATTACTATTTGAAACAGTGTTTCAGAGTGTGAAAAGAATTTCATTATGTGGAGATTTTATTGTAATGCCGTTCATAGTAATAGGAATTTGCTGTACAATAAAAAAACAATGGATACTATCATGCAAAAGTCATAGATCACGTATGTTTCCTGTTGTTGACAATGTCTACAGTGTTACAATGAATAGTTTGACATTGTCAATTGAGAGTTTGCTTATTTTTGAGTTACTGTGAGTTATTTTGGAGGGGAATGTGGAATAAAAGATGGGAAAACTACAACTTATGTCCTTTGCTAGAAAATAGAATTTCTCCATTCTTGAGACTGTATTTTGCTTAAAAAAATCACTGATTTGATCATTTGTATTTCATGGCAGGATTTTCAGTGTCGAATTACACTTCAAGAACTAAATGCGATGCCTTCTATATTAGAGCTCTTGAAGTCGGAATATCCAATTATTCAGTTGTTGGCTCTCAAAACCTTAGGTGTTATTACAAACGATAAGGAGGCCCGAGTGATGCTAAGAGACACTCAAGGATTGGACCACCTTCTTAAGATCCTAGAAGCTAAGGTATTTTCAACATTCATTCAACTCTCTATAAGGAAACGCATCTCTCGTAAATGTTGTTATAAAATGTGAATTGTAGAGTATTTTTAAAAAGTGAAAGTTTATTATATTTAAGCATGGTGTACTAAGTTTAATGGACTAATCTGCTTATGGCCACATAAAGTTAATTTGCCTGATTAAATCAGACTATTGTAGAGGCCATTATAAACTAATTTTAAAAAAGTCTTCTGGTTTAGAAGATTTAAGATTTTAAAATTCTTTTTTATGGTCTTCCTCCTGATTTCCTGAAACATCTAGAGTGAGTCTTTCAACCTTTGTCTATCATGGTATTCTCTGGAATAAAGCAAAAAAAGTAATTTATCTTCTAGACACATCTCGATAAATATTGGAGTTAAATTTCCATAGATGCTAGTAAGTTCCTTAGGAATGAATTACATACTTTAAGAATATGTACGCCTTCTAGTATCTCCTAGTTACAGAAACCAATCTAACAATTTATCGAATGCCATTTAATTGATTCGAAGTGATTCAGATAGCTTCTAAAGTGTCCAACATCTTGACTCCACAGTGAGTGGTAATAAGCAGATTTCAGATCCATCGTCCCTACTTTAATATTTAGTAAATTAAATTAACTCTAATAACAGAAATCTATTCTTAGTACCTCTTAGAAATTCAGGAGACAAGAATAGATTGAAGGAGAACAGATTGAAGGAATAACAACTTTGTAGCGAGTTTCAAACTATCCAGTCTTTATATTGTTTTCTAAAAAACCAAACCTCAGAGCTTAGTAACACACAACTGGGAAAACAAAGTACAATATAAAAGAGCAGTAATGGCATAAGTGTGTTCCCAGGCATGTAAACCTACCTGCCTTTGATTTGCTGATCCCATACGTGATCCCATTAGTGATACACCATTCTAATAACAACTATATAGCAAATATTTTATCCTGTTTCTTACTTAATTTGTCCTGTGTCACATATAAAGTGATTAACTACAGGGATGAACCTAGGTTTGTCTGATATGTCACAAGATGAAGCTTCGCTCACTCACCTACTGGCCTGAGGGTTGGGGACTGCAGGATGACTTTATTAAATTTGTAATTCTTTGAAGAATGTGATAATATTTTTGTCTGTAAATGAAAGGATAATGATTATATCATTATACATATAACAATATAATTATTGTACCATTAATCC